ATCTACTTTCATTTCCTTTTTTCTTCTTCTTTACTTCTTTTCTTTCTCCATTTCGTTCTTTCTTTCTTTCTTTTCGCTGTTTTTTGTTTTGCATTTTTCTTCATATTTTCAACGTTTTCGGTGCTGTATTTTCATTTTTTCTTTTTCTTTTTGTTTACTTCCTTTCTTTCTCCATTTCGTTCTTTCTTTCTTCAATAAAATTTTTCAGTTTTTCTTCATTGAATTCAATGCTCTATTTTAATTTCTTTCTTTTTTCTTCTTTACTTCCTCCCTTTCTCCATTTCTTTCTTTCTTTCTTCATTAAGATTTTTCGCTGTTTTTTTTTTCATTTTTCTTCAATGTTTTCAATGATCTATTTTCATTTTTTTCTTTTTTACTTCCTTCTTTCTTCATTCCGTTCTGTTTTCTTTCTTTCTAGAATAAGTTTTTTTTGCTGTTTCTTTCTTTCATTTGCCTTCTGAATTTCCAATACTCAATTTTAATTTTTTCTTTTTTTCTTCTTTACTTCTTTTCTCCACTTTTTCTTTCTTTCTTTCTTTCTTTCTTTCTTTCTTTCTTTCTTTCTTTCTTTCTTTCTTTTCCTTCCATTTATTATCTTTTTCTTTTACTTCCAGCCATTATTTCTTTTATTTATATTTTCTTTCTTTCTTTCTTTCTTTCTTTCTTTCTTTCTTTTTTTCTTTCTTTCTTTCTTCAATAATTTTTTTCACTGTTTACATATATTTCTTCTTTCTCCTCTTCTTTTGCTTTTCACTCCATGTCTGTTCTGCCAAATTCGATCAATTTTTTCCAATTCTTTTAATACACATTTTAGTGTGTGTGTGTGTGTGTGTGTGTGTGTGTGTGTGTGTGTGTGTGTGTGTGTGTGTGTGTGTGTGTGCGCGCAATTATAGCAATTAACTTAAAAAGGTGGAAAAGATTTTTAGTATCTATTTCCAAAAAACTCTTTATGAGAGCGATGATCGAAGGTGATGAGACAGGGGAACGCCTTTGCAAAGAAGAAAATCCATCATTTTTTTTTCTGTGTTGGTATTTACTTTGCTTCTGGCTTAGAATCTTGATTATTATTTTTTTTTTTTTTTACTTTTGGCAAATTGCCCCGGCTGCACCTCTTGTGGCATTTCATTGAGCTGGCACGCGACCAGTGCGAGTATTGCATTTTCCCCGCCGACGACAAGGACGATATATTAAGTGACGACAAGCGAAAGAGAAGAGTACCAAAAATAGATGGCGTTGAAATGTTGCACGAATCAAATTTTTAATTCATTTATTTTTTTTTGTTTTGTTTTTTTTTTTTTTTAGAAATTAAACCCCATTCATTTTCGTCGAAAATATTGAATTAAAAATGTTCATCAGTTCAAAGGTTAGTCATTCATCTTCCAATTCATTCATTTCTTTCCCATTTGGAGACTTCATACATATATATATATATATATATATATATATATATATATATATATATATATAATTTTCCCTGTTTATACATAGAATCAATTTTTGCAAATATTTGGACCTTTTTGCACTATTAGAAAGGATTGGCAATGATTGCTATTTGATATTAATTTCTTTTGTCTTTGTTTTTTTAATAGCGATAGAATGTTTTGATTCCTACTATTCAAATCGTTTATCAGGTGCTTTTCCCAGACTAAGTCACAAAAATAAAACTGAATTAAAATAATATACATTTCACACGAAAAGCTTACATGTTTCAGTGCGTTCATGCAAGCGTTACTAAACTTGATGGTTTCATATTGCAGAATATATAAGATTATCATTTTCATGTTTGGTCACACGACAATTGCGACTAGTACCACGTAGTACCCTCCTGAAGATGTGTGTTTATAAGCAGTAATTTGAACCTTGTTAACTGGAAGTTCTCTGTGTCTGATTGGTTACCAGCACGCCAGGCCAAATGACGGTTTCCGTATGGGAAGTAGGTTCAATTCGAATCGGAGAACGTATATTTTCTACTAAATTTCTCTAACATTTAGGCTACTAAATGTAATTAATACTGTTTTATTAAAAACAAATCATTTATACAAATAAGTTGTATCCATGAAATTAACGTATAAACAGAAAATATATGAAAATATTTATTGGATTTAATCCATTTGATATAATTATTTATTTTAGAATATTAAAACATGTAAAAATCGCTACATAATGTCAGTTATGTTTCGACGCCATAAATGTGTCTACTCAGGCGAGGTTAAACTACTGGTGAGTCTTATATATATATATAAATATATATAATATATATATATATATATATATATATATATATATATATATATATATATTGGATTATTTTTTATTTACGATGTACCTTGAAGACGCGGACAATGATGGCTTGCCACAACTTCCAACTGTTTGTAGCGCAAAGCAATGTTTATCCTTTTCCTGTCCCTTTTAAACCCCGTTCTGCCATCCACTTACACAAGCTCGTTACGCAGGTTACTCATTGTTTCCCCCTACCTCTCTTACTTTTGATTTTCCCCGTGAGTGTTATATACGCCAAGTCCCCTTTCCTCATTATATTGTGAATTTATATTCTGAAATTGTCTCTTTCTGAATGTAAGTATAATGTTACTTTTGTTTTCATTTTTTTTTAAGAACTTCCTTGTTTTCCACATTCTCCTGCCATGGTATTCGTCCCATTCTTCTGAAGAACAGCAAAAAGAGAAGTGTGAATTTCGGCACAAGAATAAAGGAAGACATTTCAAGATAAATGAAAGTTAGTCGTTGACACGTTAGGTAATCGTGTTTGCTGAGGTTTTAAAATGGATAACTATGAAATATCTCGATAATTCAGCCAATGAAAATAAACGCACATTTCCACTCAGGAATTAATATGAAAAAAAAGACTTTCTTAAAAGCCAAAACCAAGTTATCGCGCAAAATTATTTGTATTGGGTAAAAGACAGGCAGACAGGCAGACAGGCAGACAGACAGATAGCTAGCTAGCTAGCTAGATAGATAGGTAGGTAGGTAGGTAGGTATGTAGATTGATTGATTGATTGATTGATTTACCTGGTCACTTCTTGGATTATTTAATGTCTAATTTTGTATAGAGAACCCACTGTGGACCGAACTCAAGGGTCAATTTAATTAATCAACCATTATCTCACGCCGAGATTCTTAGAGAGTGAAAGTGGGGAAGACAGAGAGATGACGAAAGAGGGATGGAGAGAGAGAGAATGTTTAAACGAAGATAGATATGTCTCAATAATATAGATAGATATGAAGTTTTTGAGCTAAATGAGAGAGCCCATTATCTAGCCGTTTAGATCAAGTCGTCCTGCAGGTTTGTTTTTAAATATTAGAATCCGTTCAACACAATATTCGCAGGCTACACAAGGTTTACTGGTAAATATATATGATTTGTGCAACATGAATGAAATTTGAAGTAATAGGATGTGAAAATTGTGAGGATAAGGAGGATAGATAAAGATTGGCCATTGACTTGACAAGGTTAGGAGGAGACACGGTGGAGTGATGGATAGCAGTTCGGATTGAGGAATTGGAGAGCCGAGTTCGAATTCCAGTCGAATCCATTTCTTACGTGCTAATACCCTTGGGAAAGCTATGAACCCTCCTCTCCCCCCCCCGCCTTGCTATAAGTAAATAGCAAGACAAACCGGGTTCTGTAACCCTGGATGGCAACTGGTTTACCACAGAAAAATGGCAACCTAATGCGAGGAAAAATCTGCCTCGTCAGTCATGTATCGAAGCGTGTATCACGCACGGGGCATAACTGACTGAATGAAAAAAAGGTAAGGAGGTTTCTTGTCCACACCGTAAGCTAATTTTATAAATCACTGACTCCCACTGATTGTGTTTTGTATTGTCAAATTTGGATTACCCCCCCACCACCACCACCAAAAAAAAAAAAAAAAACTACTACTATCATAGAATTAGCAACAATATAACTTCTGTAATGTTCATTCAGGATGTGTGCAATCATGGCTGACCAGAACTTCCTGTTACTCTCAGTAAGTCTTCCGCCTTCACCATCCCTTTTTGTGTCTTTTCAGTAAATTTGTTAAGGTTACTCGATCTTAGTCCCTGTGTTCTATGCCTTTTGAGTGTTAGATTCTCCATACCCTCTTACCTCATTATATATGCCAGAAATGTCAACTATCTCTATCTGATTGTAATTATTAGCTTCCTTGTATATCTATCTATATTTCTGAGATGAGGTAACTATTTACACTATTTACATTGTTCGGACGTTTCGGCCGCTGTACGCTCCGAGCTTCTTCAGGTGTTGTACATTGGAATTTTAAATCGAACCCTTTATTTAGTCTACGGTAGGGGGGTAGATCGTTCTAGTTTCGCGTGCCATAACTTTTCTGGGTATCGCAGTTTCAGTTATTTCCCTTTAGTAACTCAAACCAATGTAAATAGTTTCCTTGGAGTGTTTATTTTTCATAAAACTTCCCCATTGATCACATGTCTTGTCTATGTTAATCCGAGCGTATGACTAGGCTTACCGAAGTAGATTTCTCCTTCTTTTGTCTTCGGCTCAAATATATATTTTAAACAAACGAGCGGAAACCTCAGAACTTTCAGACTCCTCTCCTTTGTTCTAACCACTGAGTATCGTCTACGCCAGTAAATGATGATTGAGTTAATATAAATATTCTTCATGTTTTTACTGTTGTTATTTTAGATGCCGACCAATGAAAAATGGACCGGGTCACCAGGTGCGAAAGAGTCTTTCAGTGTCACTTTCGTCTCAGTCGGGGGTCTCGGATTTATTACGTCTTATACACAAGTTGCCGAATCATACACACATGCACGCACAAACATCGCCATACGCACATTTTTAATGTTGCCTGCTCAAATACTTGTCATGTCGATAACGACTACAATAGGTAATGTTCTTACTGTGGTACTTATTATTTGCGTCCTTCGGTTTTGTGTATTTCATTGTTGTCCCGCTTGTTTTTTATGCACTTTACAAGAACCGTCAAACAAAAGAGATTATGTTGAAAGCAATGTTTTCATCTTTCGAAAATTATTTTACAATCAATTTTATTCTCTCCCGTGACTACCTTTATCCATCTTCTTTCCTTTCTCTTTCAGCCATTTTTGGTCAGTTCAATACAGACCAAAGACGTTATCTATCTATCTATCTATCTATCTATCTATCTATCTATCTATCTATCTATCTATCTCAAAAATTAATCTCTCTCCCCATCTCTTCCTCCATCTGTCTCTGTCTCTGTCTCTGTCTCTGTCTCTCTCTATCTCTCTCTATCTCTCTCGGGACCTAGGCGCGGGATAATGTTTATTTAGATAGATATCTATCTATTTCAGACTGCTCATATCTATCTATCTATCTATCTATCTATCTATCTATCTATCTATCTATCTATCTATCTATTTCAGACTGCTCATATCTATCTATCTATCTACCTACCTATCTATCTATCTATTTCAGACTGCTCATATCTATCTATCTATCTATCTATTTCAGACTGCTCATATCTATCTATCTATCTATCTATCTATCTATCTATCTATTTCAGACGGCTCATATCTATCTATTTCAGACTGCTCATATCTATCTATCTATCTATCTATCTATCTATCTATCTATCTATCTATCTATCTATCTATCTATTTCAGACTGCTCATATCTATCTATCTATCTGTCTATCTATCTATTTCAGACGGCTCATATCTATCTATCTATCTATTTCAGACTGCTCATATCTATCTATCTATCTATCTATCTATCTATCTATCTCAGACTGCTTCTATCTATCTATCTATCTATCTATCTATCTATCTATTTCAGACTGCTCATATCTATCTATCTATCTATCTATCTATCTATCTATCTATCTAGATGTTTCATCATTGTTCACTGTGAATCGAATTAGTTTCACGAATTGAGATTTTTGTCTCTTTATTTATATTCTCTTGCCATTTCCTTTTTAACATTTTTTTAAATTTTCTTTGTATGTTCAATTAATGATTTGTCGGGCAATCAAATGTTACAATGCGGCTGAGATGGCGGATAAAAGAAAGGAATAAAATAGATTCATTAAAAAACATATTTCAAAAAGATAAAAGGATGTTACAGATCGTCATAAAGACACAGAGCAGACAGAATCAGCGGGAAAAAGTAAGCAGTATATGAAATATGCTGTCGGGATACAAAAGAATAGTATCTCTTTTTGGTTATGTCACGTGACGGGCGTAAGTGACGTCATTTGAGAGTGTGTCGAAATCCAGTTGCTATGCAGACAGCAGAGAAGCGACACATGACTTCCCACGGCAGAAGAGAACAGAAGAAACGATATGTTCGCACCAGATACATGAAGAAGACCACCGGTCTACATGCTTTCCCTCGGAAAATATTACAAGTAAGACTCTCTCGCTTCTCGCTCGTTCTCACTACTTGTTGCATTCATGTGTTATAATTTCTTTATGTGGGAAAAGTAGTGAGAGGTTTATAAGTATATTTGTATATAATTTACTGTATGAATTAGCTCTATAAAATCTCTTTCAGAAGAATGCATAATTGTTATTCCTGTCTTTCAGCTATTCTATTGCGTCCGTGACAGTAAGTTGTTAGTATGTATCAGATATCCTAATGCCTATCATGGGGAAATGAAAACTGGAAATATTCTTTCTTACCTAGCCACCGCTGAGACTAAACCATCATAAATTCTACTATTTTTGATCACACATATACATACAATGAACTGACCAAAATCTATAGTGTGGACAAAACACAAGAAGGATTGCTGAATATTCGAGAAAACTTGTCTACTGTAGGACGCATATTTTTCTAACAAGATTTCTCGAATATTCAGGCCGGTAAATCTAAATAAATAAATATACTCTTTAATAAATATTATGGTAAGTTACCCACGAACGAATGGACTCTCCCAGCTATAAATAGGAGCAGGTACTGCCTTTTGAGCAGGGAAGTTTCCAACTGTCAGCTCTGACAGTCGGACCGAACATTCTTGTTGTAACACTCGTTTTTATGTTTGTATTACTGTTTCTGTTAATATATTTGTTTAACTTCACTTGGGCCTTTATTTCTGACCCTAACAAGGCCACAACAATAAATAAAAACATAACATCTACCCAGATATGAGTATCCATTTAAAAAAAAAATAACGTTTAAACAAATTAATTAAAATATTTCGGATTTAATCCATTTCCTAAAAAAATTCTTTGTTCACGTTAGCATACGAAACAGAGCAGATATGTATATTTCGAGAATCAGGAAAATATATGTTCAAAAGCACTATTCGGAATATATATATATATATATATATATATATATATATATATATATATATATATATCTATATATATATATACACACACACACACACACATATATATATATATATATATATATGATTTTTACTAATGTTTACTTAATACAAGGCCCAGGTTTCCCTCAAGGTAAAGGGTTAGTGGAGTTATATTAGCGTAAAAATGGGCAAGCTAACAGGTAAGATAGACAGGTAATTATAGACTTGAAGAGGTTAAGATTTAATTAACGAATAAAATGTCGAAGTTCAGGTGGAGACATTACCAGTGTAGAGTTGAAGTAGACTTTAGAAGGAACCGGAACCCAAATTCTAAGCAGGACGATAGACAAACGTAGCTACTCCTCAATATATATATATATATATATATATATATATATATATATATATATAAATTATGTCTATTATTGTAGAAGATGTGGTTGAGTCTTTTTTAATTTCAATGCCTTTGAGTCCAGATATCTGTCAAGCATATAATCTATGAAAACAAGAAAGCTATAAAACTGGGGATACATTCAATTCTTTCTCCTGCATGTTGCAATTAACACAGATGCTAAGAAACTCCCAAATTCCAAGGGCAACTCTATCTCTCTCTATGTCTCTATCTGTCTTTTTTCTTTTTCTTTTTTTTTGTGAGTTCGCCTTAAATGGTACACTATGTTATTTTTAGGCCAGTCAAATACATATCAGCACACATATATACTTATATCTTTGTTAAATTTACGCTAGAAAACCTATTAACTCTCCCATCTATCTCCGCACAAAACATTTGTACCAATTAAGATAAAAATTATTGTAATCAAGCCAACAAGCATAAAATACATTTAATATCATCAAACAATTGTTTTTCATCACAGACAAAAACAATTCATCAACGATTGATAGACAATAGACAATAAACATTGATGAATTCAAATGAAAAAAATCACGTCCAAATGAAATAAATGAAACGATTAATGAGAATGAAACTTAAAGTACAGCCTTCAAAAACAATGTCTGCCAACATTTTGGAAAGAATTCGAAATACACTATTCATTTGTACTTGAAATGCACTAATTCATATGTATTGAAAAGTACATAATAAATCCTATCTTGATGAAGACAATGCAAACAATAGTCTCGCTACAAACCATATCAAATGAAAAAGCACAAAATAAAGCGTTGTTATCGACGAATTCTCTCGTTTCATTTCTGCGCCGGGAGCCAGTGTCTCTTTTTCCGAGAATGATGTCAATTCAATTCTTTTCAGCAGTTATTCTAATCAATATAGACAGAAAACAAAACTTATCACCACATGACTCATAAAGATATCGATAATTCAAAACATATGCTGACGGATTAATATTTATTTTAAAATTGTGTCCTGTGTTGAGCACAGTGGTTCCATGAATACCGGTTAAGATTTACAAATCAGAAGATTTGTTCGAGTTTGAGTTGATTCCATTCACTTACGAGCAAATACTCTTGGGAAAGGTACTCACCCATCTCTTCTCTCCCCACAGATACAGGTTGAATAGCAGGAAGACAGACTATATCTTTTAGCATTATTTAGCAACCAATCTGCCGTGGAAATAAACGGCAACTTAGTGTTGGAAAATCTGCCTCGTCATCATGATTCGAAAGAGACATGATCACCCAAGAGTGTATCGCGCATGGCACTGATCATGTGGTTGATTAGAGAAACGGGGAAGAATTGCTTGCTTCCGATGGCATCAAGTAGATAAAAGTTAAATTTAAGATTTATTATAAAAATAAATAAATTTATTTTGAGGGGATTCTTTAAAAGACATTTATTAAAAAGGATAAAATTACTGCTACGTATTCTTTAAATAAAAACCTGCTATAATGAAGCCAGATGGTTAGTAAAAACGGCTTGAAAAACATTTGATGTGTAAAACCTTGTATATATGAGGCTCAAATTGATGTTGTAAAAGAACCGTTAAAATGAAGCGTGACGGTTTATGAAGATATATATATAAAATTTGGTTTTCAAATTTGTAAGAAAGAGGCTCATGCCTTATCTCAAAACCTGCCTAAATAAAGCTTGCAAAGAGGCGTGGTTTAAAAGACACATAGTGCATTTTTAACCAATGCGGAAAGTAAATTACGGACCCAAATTAACAAATTTCTGATTCAAAACGGCGCCGGCATGTGTTTAAACAAGAAGTCTGGTTTGACGGACAAGGGATTAGGGATTTGGCTCTCAAAGGCGGACGTCGCTGAGAGCTGGTAGGATGAAGACAATGCAAATAATAGCCTCGCTGCAAATCATATCAAATGAAAAAGCACAAAATAAAGAGTAGGAGATCAAAAAGCTGAAGTGTTTCGGTATTGACAAGGACGACACCGACCACTACAACGACGACGAAGAGGAAGTAACAAAAGAAAAAGAACAGGAAGTAACAGAAGAAAACGACGTAAGGAAAGAATCTTAACCTCTTTAAGTTTCGGGTCATTTGCTATCTACTTTCAACAATCTCATTCAGTAACCCTTTAAGTTAAGTGAATTGTAGATCTTGCATTGGGTGGACAACTGTTTTCAACAAATAGGATCATTAACGAAAATAGCTTCGAGGAAATATGTCTTTTATAATATACTTCTTAACATCAATTATACTTTGCTGATGTAGTTTTTACGTAAATATTGATATTGCTTCCATCTGTCTTTTCTACAAATACTTTCACAGTAACTGCACCGACGAGCGACTTCCGCTGATTCCCAAACTGCATGCTATTTAAGGTTTACGTCATCCAGTTAGGACGTAGTAGTGTTTTAGGATAGATATGCAATTATATTGATATAGAAATGCATTGACGAATATTCTATTATAGTAACGTATTGTTGACTAACTTAATATAGAAATACAATGTCGATTATTATATAATAGAAACGAATTGTCGATTAAATTAATATAAATTTGCATTATCGGTTACAGTATTTTGGAAACGCTTTTTTGTTTGACGTAACAGAGCAAAGTAATGTAGGTTATTATATTATAGGAACACATTGTCAATTAACTTAATGTAGAAATGCAATGTCGATTAATATATTACAGAAATGCAATGTCGATTAGCTTAATATCGAAATGCATTATCTATTATTATATTTTTGAAATACATTGTAGCGAACTTAATATAGAAAAGTAATGTTGATTATTATATTATAGGAACATATTGTCGATTAACTTAATGTAGAAATGCAATGTCTATTAGGTTAATATCGAAATGCATTATCGATTATTATAATTTGGAAAGCAAATTGTCGATGAACTTAAAATATTGTCAATTATTATATTATAGAAACACATTGTCGACGAACTTAATATAGAAATGCAATGATTATTTTAATACATGTTAATGTAACCTTTGATACAAACGGTAGGATTTATTAAAAAAGGACAGCAAAGCATTAATTCACTCTTGTCTTTATGAATAGACGATTGTTGTTTTATAAGCAAGTTAGGATTTTAACCAGTACTCGAGTTGCTTAATTTTTGTGCAAAAATTAGTACTGAAAGTTGATTAGACGTCTGATAAAATAATGAAAATGTTTATTCTTGTATCTAATATTTAGGAAAGAAAGATATATGTATATACTGG